CAATTAATCAAATTGATATTCGAAACTCATCGGATTAAATCACATGAGACCAAACTCCTTATGATTTTTGAACAGCTTCCGAATTATATTGCCAACATTACCCAACATTTCCCACGTATTACACAGGATCAGGATTGCTATGAATAGCTCAGACAAAGGATCATTGAACTCAATACTCCTCCAAAACAACAGAGAATGGAATCTTTATTAGAGACCAAGATTTTAGAGATCAGAAACCATCATTCCTTTTGGCTCGCTTACGAAAACATTCCGATTCTGATCCTCAAGTTGAACCCAAATTTCATCATAATGTATGAAAAAACTCCCGATCAAAGTCCATATTGCCTTGAAAACCGAAGGGACCCAACTTTGGAAGAGGCAGCTAAGACCGCGGATGACTTGATAGAAGTAATCTATCCAGGAACACATTCTGTTACCGCAGTCCACTACAAGAGCACACTAGTATTCGAAACAACCATGGAGAGAATGCTAGAGACATTACAAGCTATGCAATTAAAATTGCAGAAGAGTCTTCTAACCTCTAACTCCAGGACACGATTACCTCCAACTCATCATCGTCCAAGCTCGAGAAGATGGTGTTGGAAACACAAAGATTTCGGATTTCGAGGAAGTGGTTATGTTCCCCCTTATTTTTGGAGGGCTGACCAGAAATATAATTTTAAAAACCATCATGATCGGGAAGCTAAGAACCCGGCAGGTCTTGGCGACCACCTGTTCGGGAACAGCACGTGTCTGTCGTCTTCTTTTTGTATACGATAACAGAACAAGTACGAAATACCTTATTGAAACGAGAGCCCAAGTCACTTTAATTCTTCCTACAGCGATCAAGAGAAAACGCCAAGATCCTTTATCTTCTTTGGAGCCGCCAATAACACAGAAATTAGGACATTCTGTAGCAAAGAAATGTACATAGATTTTGGTTTCCAAAGGTTGCTTAAGTAAAGTTTCGCTGTTGCGGATCTACTTTTCGCTCTCTTTTGACTTAATTTTATCAGGGGACATAGACTTTGCGTGTACCCTGTTAATAACAAACTCGGAGATTCATTATCCAATCGCTGTATCTATGCCAAACCGGCTTATTCGTATCATTCGTTTCAGGTGTTTAGGACGGACAATTCAACCTGGAACGAGCTGCTGCCCTTCATAACCAAGCCTGTTATTCACAGTAATGCATCACATCGAGACTACCGATCGCCCAGATTTACACCGACCTCGTCAAATGACCCCAGACAATCTAAAGGCAACCAAAGTTATGTTCAATTATCTAATAAATGCTGCTATCATTTGTCCATCAAAGAGTGCATGGGCGTCTCCACTTCATTTAGTTATAACGAAAGGTAGGAAGAATGGGGGCCTTGTGGTGATTTCAGAAGGCAATGGTTCAGAATGCAATGGTTCCAGATAGATATCCTGACGTGGCCTTAGCCCTAAAATGCAAAAAGATTTTCTTCAAAGTTTATCTAAAAGCTGCCTATTTTCATATAAGTATTTCCCGCGTGAATTTCGCCAAATGGATTATATCGCACAATTGACTAGCGATGTGAGCTATGTAACACAAACAGACAGCGTCGTCGCAAACACCCTTCGCGCATTAACATGGCCTCTGTTGTATCTGACGCTAGAATTGATTATCAAGGAATGGAAAAAACACAGGAACGGGAATGCGGTCAAATCACAGCTTGCCAATGGCCCAAACTTACAATTACACATGTAGATATGCCAAAAGGTGCCAAGATCTGGTGTGATCTGTCAACAGGAAAAAATTGTCCCTTCGTTCCTTCCGCCATACGGAAATTGTTATTAAAAGCCGTTCATAATTTGGCACATCCAGGTCTACGTCCGTCCCGTAAACTACCCGTAAGCCTTTTTTTCTGGCCAGCAATGCAAACAGACATCGGCAAGTGGACTAAAGCCTGTCCAGTTTCCTAAAATAACAGGGTGCATAGACACACCAAAGCTCATATTGGGAGTTTTGAGCCAGTTTCCGAGACCTTCAACCACATTTACATACAAATTGTTGGTCCCCTTCCGCCTTCTAAGGAAACCGCTATCTCCTTACCGTTATTGACTGCTTCACATGATAGCCAGAATCTATTCCAATGCCAGACATACAAGCAGCGAAATTTGCGAGAACCTTTGTCATTCACTAGGTTTCAAAGTTTTGCACTCCGGCAGCCATCACAACCGACAGAGGCAAGCAGTTTGAATATGATCCTTTTGTCCATCTATCCAAATTATTAGCAAGGAAAGCGATTTACATGTGCGCCTACAACCCTCAAAGTAACGATTTGGTAAAACCCTTTCATCGTCAGCCAAAAATCCCGTATGAGACACTAGAGGAACTCGGGCAAGTGGACAGACAATTTTTCTTTAGTCCTGTTGAGCTTATGGACCACGGTCAAAGCAAAAACCGATTTCAGTCCAGCATAAATGGTTTACAGATGTCAGCTACTATTGCCCAATGATTTTGTTGCCCATATTCACGTTGGAAAACCATCTGCTGATTACGTTAGAAATTTGACCGTTATGCTGGAGAAACTACGCAGCATACTTTTCAGACCAACTACCTGCAAGTCGGAAGTGCCTAAAGACCGTATAGTTTGCAAATACGTCTAAGTCAGAGACGACCGAGTATTTCCACCACTATCCACATAATTTGGTGGCCTCTTTTGTGTCATCTCCAGAAACGACAAACACTTTACTTTATTAACAAAAGACCATCGTGAAGTGCTGAGCACAGACAGACTCAAGCCTGCAAAAATTGACTAATCAGAAGGCATTCCAATAACAAAGAGCCTATAGAGTAAACCAATATTGAGGGGAAATAGAACATAACCCAGACATCCTATGCAGCTGAGAAACATGGTCAATTTTGTATTGGGAGCCTAATGCAACGCTCAATTTCTTTATTTCTGAGTCTATCCCTTTCAGATTAACCTATGTAGGGACTTTTAATCAGTTTGGCTACATTTCACAGTTATCTCTCGACTCATGCAAAACCAAGCAGGGCATGACTCAACGGCACTGTGTCCCAGGGGGACTAAAAGAATCTAGTCACCGCATCAAGCCTCTCCGTTGACGCAACCAGAACGTGGCACTAAAAACACACAAAGGCACTTTTATTCAGATACTATCCAGACTAATAATGATTGCCGTCGTTAACCTCTGTGACCGAGCGCTAGCATCTTGCACGAACACCACACTCTATCATCGTCTGAGTCTTTCCCACATCGAGATCCTCAACATAACATTCCTTCTTATATACAAGATACTCTGAGACTCGTTTTCGTGTTCATCTATACAAGCCTGGGGTATTCTATAATGTAGCGCGAGGCCGAGCACATGGTTATAGTAAATATTTCTATGATCCTTGCATTGTGTGTGTATATTTAGTGTTCGCATATCCTTAAGTTTGTGCAATTTTTACTTCTTGATTTCAAATTATTAAACAAATTATTGTATTATGTGGACACTTCGGATTAAATAAAGATTATGTGGACAATAATAGAGCTATAAAGCATTTTAATATTACTTTAAGGCTGTAGTGACATATCCTTCTTAGTCCTCACTTTAGCCATAGCCTGACACTCATATAACTCAAACCCTTTGTGAGTATGACCCAACTGCAGTCTCTGCTCATGTTAACCAAACAAATCTCTCCGCTGTATCAAGCCTACTCTTCAACATATTTTGAACTAATTAGAAGCCAGAGTTTAAATCATTAAAGTCCCCGAAGGAAAATGTTTTGGACCTGGAAATTTTCCCCGAGCCCTTTCTTCCTTGGGGTGGCCAGCTCCCGTCACATAGTGCCTAATTCACACATTGCCTTCGTTCATTACTATTACTCTTACTGCACGTGTTTGCCTCAGCTTGGGCTCGTGGAAAGTCCCTACTTTAGCCTCAATTATAGCCTGGAGACTGTCACTGACAATGTCGCATCGTCAACCTTGTAGCTATATTCCTGGATGTAATACACGTGCACTTTAACGTTTTTTTCAAGTGTGTGCCACTATATTATACTCCAATCCTTTCCTCTTCCGCATCCGCGCTTGTACAGGTTATTCGGACATTCCTAAAGCAGCTTATCCACATCAAGCTTCCGAAGCGTCTTTTTTACTAGAATCTTTAGGTTAGTAATTAGACTTTTGTAAGTTCTCTTGGTTAGTACGCTCAGATAAATTTTACATATCCATCCTCCTTCTCTTTGCGCCTTTATTACAGAAAGCATATAGTAATTAGCTCTGTAAACCTTCTTATCCTTATACATCTTTGGCACCACATTCCCCAGTACTTTATCTCCTTATTCGATCGCAAGGCAGATCCCGAAGTATAACTATACCCAAAGTGGAAAAGAATGATAGCCAATCCACATAGTTGGAGTCCTGGAAAATAAATCAGGCTTCGAAGGTATGGATACCAAGATGGTATGGCCTTTTGTGTGGTCCCAGTCTTCTTTTGTTATGTAAAAGTTGCTTGATCTTGTTATTGTAACTTAGTCATATAGGTAGGAAGACTTAGAGGAATGCACATATTCCGGAGTCCATTGCATGCAGGAACATTTCCATAGCCAGACCGTGGGCATAGTACATTCTCAGACGTTTTGCCGGCATCGTAGTCGGCATTGTTAGAGAGTCTTGCTATTAATAGTACTACACTACAACTCGTCAAAAAGATAAGTGAAGCCGATCCTTTGACCAAACATGTACTAAACAGTTGTATATGTCTCCTTCTGCCCTGGGCAATTCGCATTTCCTATATCCTCGTATTACGCCTTCACTGTTACAATTTTTACCGTGCTTATCTTAATGTGGTATGGTGTGTGCTTTTGAGCGGCATTCATGGGAACTTATCATACTCTAAACTAGCTTTCTCACACTCGTCCTAACCCACTTTCATCCTTGTACTAGAAATGCTGATCAGAATCTGTCATATTGCTACGCAGTCCTCTTTCCATAGGTCTTAACAAAGTATCCCTCTAGCCCCGTAGGATCCTTCTGCTATCTCCCTGGTTCAAGTATTTCACTCGACCCCTGCCACCCCATCTATGCTACTTGAGGTGTTATTTCCTACATTCTCCCTCTAGAAAATTAACTCGAGGCTAAAGCCTCTGAGTAATTCTAATGCTCAAGCTTTTGCTTCATGGACCACATCTATGTTAAATTAGGCCTACTTTCAGCCAACTTGTTCTAGTTTTTGCCGCGTCTATCCTATTTCTATTCCTAATACCAAATCTATGAATTCTTATATCCTAGTTTCTTGTGTACTAACCCACAAATATTGTGGTACTGCTTGCTTAGATTAGGTTTCATGTTGAACCACAACATTTGTGGGTTATCACACAAGATACTAGGGCATAGGAAGTCATAGACTCAGTATTAGGGATAGAAACAGGATAGATTCGTTGGAAACTAGAGCAAGTTGGCTGAAAGTAGGCCTGATTTACCATAGATGTGGTCCATTAAGGAAAGGTTTGACCATAAAAATTACTTCGAGGCTTTAGCCCTGAGTTAGTCTTATAGAGGGAGAATGTAGGAAATAACGCCTCAAGTAGCATAGATAAGGGTGGCAGGGGTTGAGTGAAATACTTGAACCAGATAGATAGCAAAAGGATCCTACGGGGCAAGAGGGATACTTTGTTAAGACCTATGGAAAGAGGACTGCGTAGCAATATGACAGATTCTGATCAGCATTCCCAGCACAAGGATGAAATTGGGTGAGGACGAGTTTGAAAAAGCCCTCTTAGAGTGTGATGAGTTCCCATGAAAGCCGCTTAAAAGCGCACACCATACCACATTGAAATAAGCACGGCAAAAATTTTAACAGTAAAGGCGTAAGACGAGGATATAGGAAATGTGAATAGCTTAGCACATGTTTGGTCAAAGGATCGGCTTCACTTATCTCTTTGACGAGTCGTAGTGTAGTGCTATTAATGGCAAGACTCTCTAGCAATGCCGACTACGATGCCGGCGAAACGTCTGGGAATGTACTATATCCACGGACAGACTATGAAAATTAGCATGCATGCAATGGACTCCAGACTATTTGCGTTACTCAAAGTCTTCCTACCAATATGACCAAGTTGCGAAAACAACGTCATACAACTTCTGGATCAGGCTTCTTTTTCCTTTTGAGACTTTTATGGGATGATTGCATTAAATGTGGTGTATATTTATCTAAATAAGCCACATTATAATGCATTGAATAAGGATAATTACAAATTTTTTGATATAATTACGATGACATAATTCATGAATAATGCTAACTAAAACGATGGTTCTTGCTTAGCCTAATAGCTTAGAACCTTGCTCTTGGCTAATTTTGAGCAAGCGAAGTGAGTATGCCAGTAAACCTTTAAAGTTTTATTAGCTTATAGATGATGTTGAGGGGACCTTAAACTAACTGTCCAAAAAGATTACAGAACTATCTAACAGACATGCTGTATAGGCCTAGATGCTCAAGGCTGCTTAATTTATGGGTAGAATTTATGTATTGATAATTGGTTAAGAGTTTGCATTATGGGCTGAGAGAAGGCTGGGGAGTTAAACTGACGCAATTATATGTCTAGTGTCCTTACGTATAAATGCCTTAATCAGTTGCTGTTGAGTAACATCATTAGTATATAAAAGTGAAATCGTTTTTTATGCTTAAAAAGTGCAAGTCCAAAATAAATGTTGATTGCACACATCTTGTATAAACACTCGAAAACCTTCTCATGGCTACCTATTGTCTTATGTTTATGGGACGACCAGCAATCCATTCTAATACTAAAAAATATACATCCATTTAGCGAGATTTCACATCCACCTCTTCAACTTTGCAATTACGCAATGTTATTACACTATACCATTATATAGCTATGATTAAGAAAGAATATATTTTAAGCATTATGGATAAATTTAAACTTCTGGCAATCAGAATTCTACGTAGGT